AACATCGGTGGCTGGAGAACTGCAGCGAGGAGAGATGAGCCCGGTGCAGGACCTGAATAGCTGTGAAATTCTGAGAAATTTGGGGTTGGTTCCAAATTTTATCACCAACTGCTGCTGCTGCCGTGGCCCAACCAGCAGCTTTGATGTGAAATCCCAAACTCCGCAAGGATTTGGGTCCGGACATCAAGGGCTGGTTACGCTGCCAGTAACAGATGAGCTCTGCCTGAGCTCCGAAATATCTGTGCACGCTGGGGGCCGTGCAAATGGAGCGAGGGAGGTCCTTTTCCCTTCCCATTTCAAAATCCATGCAGACCCCACTGGGCAGTACTGTTCTCCCCTCTGCTTGCATTATGAGGGCGGCGTTGATGAGGGTTTGGGATTGCTAATGGCCCAAAAGTTTTACATGTCTGGGTCACGCTCAGAGCGGGCTCTTTGTGGCTTCACGGGCATTTTTGTGGCTCTCTCGTGGCTCCTGTGACACGAGTTTGGTGGCCACCCACGACCAAGCTCCCACCAGTGCCGCGAGCACCCAGGGTTTTTGGTAGCAGCCTTGGCGTAGGAGCCAAGCAGCCAGGACCTGCGCAGGGTCCTGGCAGAGCTGTGCATGCTCTGGGCATGTCCCTGTGCCTGGGGACTGTCCCTGATCCCCAGGGCACCCAAACTCTGAAACCACGTGGAGACCAGCAAAGGTGAGCCTCATATTTTATTCCTTAAGTATAAAATACTTGGCTACTACATGGAGGAAACCAGAAGTATCTCACCTAGCATGGGTTAAAACAAGGCTGGAGATTGGCTCAAATGCATTAAAATTGTCTTGGCTTTGGATAAATTCTTTATATGGGGTTGGAAAGAAAAGTTCTGGATGGCCTCTGCTAAGCAGCCGTTCAGGACAAGTGTGGACGCGCTGCTGAGAAGCGCAGTTAATCACGGCTGTCGTCTGGATGATCACCTAAGGATCTCACAAACCCTGAGGAGGCCAGGAGCCAGCTAAACCCGGAGTCTTTTAAGGTTTTGTCTGATTTCAATTAATGAGCTCAGCGTCTCCTGAACCGGGCCCTGGTGAGTTCAGTGGAAACACGGTGGTTGCTTTCACTTGGGAAAGTGTTGCTTTCTCCATTAAAGCAGAATTTGTGTTCCTTCCAGGGTGTGACTAGAAGGGCTTGGTTCCCATCCCAACTTCTGGCCATGGCCACCAGGACGGAGCACAGCCCAGCAGCCCAGCGCTTACAACAGATACAGCATCTGCAAGGACCTGGGGCTCTGGCCTTCCTCCACCCATCTTCCTAAAGCCTCACGGGCTGACAGGTACAGCTCTGGGGTGGTCCAAGGGCAAACATCTCTCAGAAAAGCGGGGATTTTATTCATTGTAAGTTTGAGATATCCACGGTGTGAGATGGATTCCCTCGACCGGGAGGGGATCAGAGGTTTCCTTGTGTGCTGGTTGCTCCAGGAGCTATCAGCAGTGCAAGGCACGGCCCGAATTCCTTCGGCTGGGGATCCTCTAATAAATGATTAGGCAAAGCATATCATAAATATGCAATGTTGTGCCTGTCAGCAGAAAGCACGGGCTTGTTTCTGGTCGGTGTTTATGGCAAGGTGATTTTATCTCTAGGAACATGATTAACTGCTTGATGAAATATTTATCAGTCAGGTTTTCCATTTGTAAGTGGAATAAGTGGGATAAAGCACGACCAAAAGTGCAGAAAGGAATTTAACTAATGCCTGCTGTCATCGTCTCCTGCTCTCCAGCAGCAAACACAGCCAGTCCGGTTACCTCAACCAGATTTGCATCACGTAAAACAGACGGGAGTGCAAACGTGA